CCACGCCAAGGCCAAGTATATCATGCAGACTCGCATTTGCTCTAAATAGTGGAGAGATTTACCCTGCATTCGGCCGGATCTGTGGGGTGCCTATTCTTGGTAAGGGGTGTCGCAAAGGTTCCGACATCTACTTGGCAGGCTTCGTGTGTGGTGTTTGTTGATGACATTGGCGTCTTGATGTCATTGTACATCCACATGTGCTGTTTCCACCAACGGCAAGGATATCGAGTAGTAGTCGTAGACTCCCGAGAGAAAATCAAAACAGAAAGTATTTGATTCTGGACGGTTTCACTTCATGGTTCATTAGCAGGCGTGCAGTCGTCTCGCAGATTGATCAACCAGGTGCCCACCCCGACCCAGCTCGCACGATCTTGTTGATGCCGGAACTTGCATCGTTGGGGCAGAACTTCAGTAGCCCGCGAAGCTCGAGCGACCAGTGTGCAAACCCAATCACTTGAAAAGTCCCGGCTCATGGCGTTGGCTATTTCAACTTCGCCCTGGTGATGGTGTCGACCACTGTCGAACCGAACGCGGGGTAATCTCGAGGAAGTCAACGACTGCAACTGCTTGTCAGCCAGCGGTAATGAACTCAATCTCTTGATTATGATGGGGCTTAACCTTGGCGATGCACTGCAGTCCGCCCAAGCCGCGAAGAGAAGAAAGCGCCATCTTCCTCGCTGTTTCAACTGACAGGCGAAGGGACACCCATACATAATTCGACCGTATTGCATCAGGTGGGCAACGGCGCTGCGAGCGCCGAGATTGTGTTGAAGATTATCCCAACACGCCATTGTCCCGCGGCCGACTCGCTCAGGTTGATCATTCCCTCGGGGTTTTGCTCATCAATATATCCTTTACCGACGACACAGCTTCGCGGGCATGTTCTTTTGGGGCAACCGACCCATCAATCAGACCCCAGGGGTCGGGAAAGGCAAGGCCAGCGGCCGTAAACATGATTTTCAACATGAAATGGTCGCAGTTGAGGCGCTCCAGACTCCTCTGGACAGTTGAAGTAGCCGGCGGCTTGGAGGGAAAGGTAACAAATTGGTTGATATCGACAGCTGTGACTCTTGTTACGTGGTGCTCTTTATGATCTGCACAATAGTATGAGCATCACCCTGGCCGACAACAGAGTGGAAGGCGAAGTCACACATATCACGTTATGACTAGATAGTTTCCTTCAGCAGTGTCTACCCTTACATAGGATTAATCGTTTCAGGAGCATAAGCATAAAGCGCTGTAGCCTTAACCACCAAGGGCAATAATTTGATCGATCCTCGCTCCTAGAACTACGTCTGTGAGGAATTATGCGAGCTCTAGATAAGCAGGCTGGAGTCCTAGGCGATAATTACCGCTTAAAACACTCAGAACTTGTGGCCTTAGTCATCTTTCTCGCTAGGCCAGATGGCGATCTGAGAAGCAGTAAGCTGGACTAGAACTCGCAAATGAAGAGAATTCCAACCACAGCATGGTTATTGTATAAGACTCAGAGTATTATGTCAGTGAAACGATTAGATGGATATTAAGAATAGCTTGCTAAGCAGCTAAATTCTCAGAAGAATCAAATACTGCATTTCTATAACGCAGACTAGACTGAGATAGGTTTAAAGAACTTCGGGGATATCAGAAATATTACACATCTGTGCTTGCAAATATCATCTATGAGCCGCAATAGGGCTAAGACCTTCAGACGCAGCCTAAACATAGATATTTAAGTGCGCTAAGGCTAGTTGCTCAACTGGATATAGATATAGACGCGAGGTTCCAGTAAGTCCAGCTATATCAGTCTGTGGGTTTTCCCAGATAACGCTGCGTAGATAAAAGCTTCGTAGCAAGTTTCACAAGTAAAAGACAATAGAATTTTCATGATTATATATTGAGGCCAGACCGTGAGATACTTGGAAGGGCGATTTGGCAAGGAAATATAGTTCCAGGCTTAAAAGAGAGATCTAAAGTCCTAAGAACAACCAAAAAGTACAACATTATGCGGTACTACATGAGGTCGTTTTCATAAGCCTAACCCTACGCTCTCAACCAGCGCCTTAATTATTATTAAATGACACCTTGGCAACTGTAGGATAGCCTAGCAGAACGCCGTGTATAACGCAAAAACATGGGAAAAGTCAAGAATTGTTGTTTCCTTGCGGCTGCCGAGATTAGGAGGTAGCTTTCTCTGCGCCCAGCTGGCTAACAGTTGGGCTACCAGCCTGAAGTATTGCATGAATAGCCGCTCCTCATGACGGGATTACCTGTCAAGAACCATCGAGAGCTAATCGCCAGCTTACGCGCCAATTTTAATATCGCCCTCAGCGTGGCAAATACTTGGATTTAGATTTATTTGCAATATATTTGCGGCATAGCTATTATGGCGTCTCGTTATTAATATAAATTATTTATTCGCAGGGACTTAACTAGGAAGCATACCTCAAACTTATAAACATAGCAACTGTTAGCTAACGCAAAAGATAAACTATATCTGGTCGAATGCAATAGGCGTTATCACTTATGACTTGAGATGGAATGCTTGCGATAAGGGTTGAAATGTTAATACAGCTGGTTAATATGCGTTTAGCTGACATAAATAGGGAGCGAAATATTCGGCGCTAGGCTAGAGTTAGATTTAGGGCCTGCTAGAGGACTAGCTTTGCAGAAGATCTGCTGTAAATGCTGGTAGTAGTAGAACTTTAGGAGCTTTGCACTCTGCGAGCATTAGTACTGTCTCCCGGTCGAAAGCCTATATAAGCGACAGTTGAGGAGTTGAGATGCAGTAATAATAGGTCTTTCAGTTAGATATAACGCAGGAGCTTATATTAGTTTATTCATTTCCTAATAACTGTAAATATTCTTTTAGTCCTTCTCTCAAATATAGGAAAATATGACTTTTGAGAACGGGTGGACCGCCCTGTAGAGCGACGACCTGACGCTGCTGTAATTGTCTCAACTATTATATCACATAACGCCTATTACAGCTGAAATCCTTATACTATGCAATGTTGGGATGAGGACTCCGCGAGACATAACTGACGTTAGCTCCACGTAAGCAGGTATATAAAGGACCTGAAAAGGGAGAGTAGGCGTGAATAGTTTGTAGAAAGGTAGTTTTAGTGTATACTAACACTTTTGAGGATTTAGAGGTAGAAAGTTTATAGCAAGACAGAAAGTTTAGCAGAGATCTTAGAAACGATATAAACTAATGAGGGTTCCGCAGTGGCAACGCTTCTGTCTTTCGGATTATGCTAAGAATACTAGGTGGCCGTCAGGCAAACAAACCTCTGATCGAGGAGCTCCACTAATACTAGCTACACGTAGAAGATTCCAACTAGAATTATTCCGTTTTCTAGGGTCGCCATATTCAGTCACTATTTAAAACCAAGACCCCTGTGAACTTCAGACCAGTAAACTTTTAAATAAATAATAGATTGAATCACTTCTAATCCGTGAACGTTTGCAAGGAGAAATGCTTCTGAATGAGTGTTTCCTATAAGTAGATGCTCAAATTGGTTAGTTGAGTATGACATCGGAGTCGCAACAGAAATATCGCCTTCTGAGATCGACTGCCAATGCTGCGGCAACAAGCCTCAAACGCGACAGCTTTAATAATTGTGATAAACCCCTCCCACATGAATCTCGAAGCCACATCTTTAGTACCAGCATAACCTGACACATTTGGCCTACTGGCCGTTTGATCAAACATTATATCATCACATCATAGTATCTTTTTACTCGACTTTGAGCTTCTCCTCTAGTTCCTATACGACACTACGCAGCATATCTAGGCTATTGGGGTTCATAAACCTAGTTTGGCTAATAACTCCTTGAATTCAAGCAACCAACCCCTAGATCTCACTCTGAGAAAAGATAATGCTCTTGTTATTTGCTCTGTGGACTTGGCTGGCTTTCCAGTTGTGGATATTCACGGCTATAGTTAGATAGAGTTGGATGGAGCAATCGCCAGGGCGGGAATATTGGAGCTAGGGAGAGTGACGCAGCTGCTAAAGCGGTTGGATTCTCGCTCTCAGGGACCTTATAGCCGTTGGAATCAGCAGAATTACATCTGCGCAATTGCTATGTTTGAAGAGAGAGATATTATTAAATAAGACCTATATGGGTTTGGAGATATACGCATTTAGAAATGCGAATGCGGATAGGTTAGATTTGAAAACGTACCCGGCTCCTGCCTAATAAAGCCATATTAGGAGCGACATTAGTAGGCGTAGTAGATATCTTTGCAGAATGGTTGGAAATTGGAGCTGCCTAACGATCGAAATATGGAGCTGAACTTGCAGTAGAAGGCTGAATCGTCGCTGCTTCTTTGATGTGGGCAGGCTGGCTGTACCCTTAGAAGTGATGTAGGCTGCGAGCTAGTCTTCAGATGAGAGCCCTTCAAAAGGGAAGGAGGATCTGCTGGTGAGTCTTATTATGTCAGAAATTTGACGAGGTGTGGTCAGCTTAGAATTGGTGTAGAATGCGTCGGTTGAGGTGGGTTGAGAAAGGGGGTTGGAGGCGTAGGTAAATTAAGACTGGGGTGTGAGTTATGGGTGGAAGTTGAAGACTGTTACGTTATTGTGATGGAAGAATTCATTAATCTGGAGCTGAGTGAAGAGAATAAGATGAAGCTGAGGGTTCTGCTCCTTCCTCAACTTTCCTCCTTGAGTCTTTGTGCGCTGATGATGTTGATTAATGTCAATGGAACCTGCCACTGCGTTGTTTAGGTGCGCTTAATTATTCGCCTTAATAACGTTGCGCGATACTAGAAAATGAAGATAAGTTGGATAGAGGACTGCTAGATGGATTGGTCTTTAGAGGGATTTGAGATTGTTGCAATAAACTAATGCTATGAGAACAAATTTAATAGTATCACTGACACAGATTCTCCTAAGTGTGCTGTCCCCCCCACTAAAGATATTCCGCAGAAGTTTGATTTCAAGCAGAGACCTTTTCTAGTGTGGTTTTATTCACTTTGAGCTAACCTGCACTAAATCGTTCTAAAGTGGAAAAACTTAAGCCGCAGTCTGCGGGGTCTGCAAAGTCCCAGCCTCCCTGAGCTCGTAGTTAGGGAAGGGGTCCGGGTCGGTCGGGTTGGCGTTGTTCTGCACACGCTTCACGAGCGACTGCGAGTAGAACTTGCTGCCAGCGTGACTGCCATCAACGGCATCGGTGATGTTGAGCCAGTACCCCTGCTCGGGCGTTCGCGTGCTCGTGAACGAGAAGCCGTACCCGGCCGCCTCGTCGTCGCACGTGCCGGAGAAGACGGGGGCAATGTAGCCGTTGTGCCAGTTGCTGCCGCTGCTGGTGGAGCACCGGGCCTCACTCGCGACGGCGCCGTCGGAGCTAACGATCGCGATACCAAAGTTGTAGCTTGTTATGGACGACTTGGGACCGGAGCCGGCGTAGAAGTCGGTGATTTCGTACTGAGAGGAGGCTTGGCGCGTGATGGGGTTCGCGGAGGCGAGGACACCAAGGGCCAGGACGGAGATGGTGAGCTTCATTATGTAAATGTGGTGAATTTGCAGGTGTATTAATGCAATGGGTTAACCGCTTTGATATGGCGTGGTGTTCTGGAATAGAATGGCCGAAACAGGTGATGCGCTCGACAATTATATACTGAGATCTAGGAAATATTCTGGTGATCTCGCATCGTTGCAGACGTTCACGTCAATGATGTCCGCCCGACAAACTCGTATTCCGTGCCCCCCGTGTCGTCACCACCATGGTAAGGTAACTTAGCCGGGCGGACGTCGTGGCAGTGTTGTACGCTTATGGTCACATCAATCGCCGGTTTCCCGCTGTCTCAAGGGCTAGGGACAATTGCAAGCGCGTCCGGGGTCGCGGACGAGACCCACAGCCCGGTCGGAGGCGGCACAGAAAAGCGGCATGACGAGCCGTTGGTAGATACAGGTGAGATCAGCAATACGAGTACCTAAGCACGAGAAAGTGTAACGCCACGAAACTGTGCCGCGAAGGATTTGGTCCATGCCCTAATCTTGCTTACGGTTACGGACTTGGCTGCTAGCAGAGACGGCGATTGGCCCCGCGGATTCCGTCTGACTGAGACAGTTACCCGATTTGTAACTGAAATTCCTGTTTGCCGTTTTGCGCAGACTGAAGTCATTGGAAGTGTTGATATGTCTTCCGTTCTACAAAGGCTAGCATGATGAGTAGAGGCGATGTCATTATGTATGAGACAACTTCTGAGGTATGTGACGGGAGCAAGCTTTCTGCCGACTGTCAAGCCAGATAGAGTGTCTACTGTCCCTATTATTTGCGACTTTTGCGTGACAGAAGACCACGAGAAACATGGGAAAATGATGCCTGCAGAAGATCCCATCTAACGGTCTTCAGCCCCGATGTGTTGCTAAGCTGGTGGCGTATCTCACCTATATATAGCACGGAGACCTCAGAAATGCCCGAAGCAACACCGCAACTACGCCGAGCGTGGTAATTGTCTGTCTATCCTGGGGTCACTCAACTCATAAGACAACGTCACGGCAGAACTCACATGTTATTCAACATTGAGAGCGCTCCGAGGCTTACTTGTTGAAGTACTTACATAGCAGACCGTCTGACTACCATACACATATGGCGATGATCACGAACGCAAAATTGATGTACAATAGGCGAAAAGCTGTACAGTTCGGAGTCACCCAAGTCCCCGTCAAAATTCGCAACCGCAAAGTTTACGCCATAAGAAAGAAGTCTGACCTACCTCCTCTGGCTACAATACATTGGAAATCGTCGAAGAAGGCTACTGACGCCCCCAGGCTCGCTAATGTTAACCAGGCCGATATGGATTCATTGCTTGCACGACACCCACCTCAACGGTCAGATCACGCAAGGGGGCTTCCCAGTCTTCAACCCCTAACACTCAAAAGAAACCTCCAAGAGGAGTCTAGCTCTTGCTTCTCTATAAACCCCTCAATCTCTGAGGGATCCGTTCAGAGGGTCATTTTAGGTGTTCAGCGCGGCCTTGAAAATTTTGTACTGACCACAGGCGCTGAGGCACGCACCCAACCCCAGGCGGACCCCTCGTTTTTTTCCTACCTGTAATGAACAGGATTCTAAGCTTGAAGGGTCAAAAGTTCACAGTCCAGGAAACTTGGCAAAGTTTTAGCCAGTCAAGCCTGGAATCATTCCCAAGTTATTTGCATTTCCCCGTCCAAAGCTGAAACATATCACGACGGGCTTCCGTGAGGCCGTTGACGTGGCTCGTGTTGGAAATAAGTTCAGGTCACTTCATTTACCAAGGATCTCACCTTTCCAAGTTCAACGAACCAAAATGGCAAAGTCATGAACCACTGCGCTCTAGCAAGACCGTTCAAGGACACGGTTCTAACCAAACCAAACAGCAGACGAGATCTCAGCAGATACGCTCACTAAACTTAGTCCACGTTGACTAGACACAGAAACTAGTAAACTAGAATTTAATGTCCAGACAAAGCGCTATGCCAAAGGGGCTTGAGAGAGTGCGCCAAGTATCCTGACGACTGGCGCCTCAGACTTAGTAATACTTTCCAACCCAAAAAGCTTGCTATCATTCCCAATTAGTGATATGTTGATTTGAAGGGCGTGATTCATAAAAATGCTGTTGCGACGGGCGCAGGCTTCGTAGCCGCTTTAATCCCAAAAAAAAAAAAAAACAAAAAAAAAAAAGGAATTGCGAGAAGTTCCATCTTTACCGCCTTGAGAGAGTCTTTAGGACAGTCGGCCAAGGAGGAGGCGCTGCATGAAGACGCTGAGCTGGCAGCATCAAGTCCCACCCAAGACTTGAAACACGCACAAATCGTCACCAGCGGACGGGAAATCGCAAGTAACCACTTCCGTGACGAGGCAAAAACGTGGTTCTCAGAGAGTACATCATGTTGACCGCATGTAGCGCAATGGCCTTATTGTAGAATTGCGGGCGGGAAGGCCGAGTGGTCAAAATGGCGGCTTTTCTCGTCAACCTCAACCGACGAACACATGATGCGAGACGGTAGTCGGCCGGGCCCGGGCCCGAGGCCCGAACTCCGGCCCGAATCCCGCCTTTACGTAAGGGATCGGCCACACCACTTTGTAGCCAGGCGCGCCCGGCGCTCGTAGCTAGATTAATCAAGCCACTTCACGCACATGAACACCAACGCCCCTCTGCATTGGCTGTTGCGGGAAGCCCTCGTCATGTTTTGTCATTAGAAGACAGCGTCTGCGCCTCATTAAAATGGAGCGATGAAGCACTCCTCGGTCGCTTGGGTGGAAGCGATGGATTGCCTGGGCCCGACCGGCAGAACCTCGGACGCGTCACAAATGAACCACCTAAAATTTGCGTAATCAGGGCCCCGCCCGCACTGGCCACAATGGAATTCGCAGAGGCGAAATGCCTACTCTTGACTGAGAGGAAGTGGAGAGGCTGCCGGAGATTAACCGGTGGCTGGGCTTTGCCGCGAGGCGGAGGAATGGCCCGTGTGGCTGACCTAAAAAGAGTTAGCGCTGCCTCGGCTACTCGTGCCTCAGGCCACCACCAATGACAAACCGCGAACAACGGATCGTCCGAAATGACTCGACTCGACTGCTCCAAGCATCACGCATCAATCATCTCGACGACATCCAGTAACACTCCCATCCATCATCCTGTCGCGTCGCCGCTATGGTAGCCGGTACTGCAAACCACGCTGCCTCGGCTGCACTCACGAGGGATGAGTTCATCGACCTCCGGAACGTTCAGGACCGCCAAATCAACGCCGAGCTGTCCTCCATTCGACAAGCCCTCAGCGACAACACCCACGACCTGAAGGTCGACATCCACCGCGTCCACACAGGCCTGACGGACGATATCAATGCTGTCCACGCGGAGCTGAAGAACGACATTTACCACGTACACGCGACACTGACAGACGATATCAACAATGTTCGCACAGAGCTGAAGGAAGACATCAACAATGTTCGTACGGAGCTGAAGGACGATATCAACAATGTTCGCACCGAGCTGAAGGAAGATATCAACAATGTTCGCACCGAGCTGAAGGAAGATATCAACAATGTTCGCACCGAGCTGAAGGACGATATTGGTACTCTTCGTACCGAGCTGAAAGGCGACATCAATCTCCTCCGCGCCGAATTCGAACGCGGTAAAGCATTCAACCACAACAGCAGGCTTCGAAACCCAACGTTTCGCATCGAACCCCTCGCCGCAATCCATCCTGACGGCCCTGTGCTACCCGACAAGCGCCTCTTCCCTAAAGACGCCAGGGCATTCTACAGTCTTCGAGTGCCCAACTCCGCTAGACGATTGGAAGCACTCGCTTACCTGGTCAAATTCTATGACATCCCATTCCGCGCCTGGCACGCCAACGACGACGACGATTATGACTACGAGAGCTACGAGAGCGATGCCGACGAAGACAGCGACGATGGTTCAAAGCCGGCTGAGCAGCCTGAGCTTTCCCTCGAAGAAGCTGTTCTCACATACCCCAGACGCGCCGTCGAGGACCTCGAAACCATTCTTGGCCTGAACGAGGAAAACTTCATCAACTTCCGCGCACACGCTCGACAATTGAAGCTGGAGTCCTTGGTCGCCAAACGGCCTACGGAGAGCGAGCAGCGGCCGCGACCCGCACCCTCAAGGCGCGTCTATGGGTCGCTTTTCGATCAGAAGGCGTCATTGCGGCCGTCGCGGCCGATCGAACAGAACTCGGCAGACTGGGAAAAATTGCTCAAGGAGGGCCAAGAGAAGGAAGCCAGCGAAAAGAGCGAGGAGACCCGGATCCTTTGGGATGATGGGTCGTTTAGGCGGAGGAACCAAGAGAAGATGCGAAACCTTGCTGAGCGCGGAGCTCGATCCAGCGAAGGAAGCCCAACAAATGCGGATACCCTGTCGAGAGAGGGCAGATCGCCTCGCCCGCAGACACCAGTTTGAAGAGCCTGGTCACGCTTCACGCTGTCAGGTTGAATGACCATCAAGTCTGCACGAATAACACTGGCTCCGCGCCTGTCCCATCACTTCACGGAAGAGCGTGAACCTAGGGCCTTCGCCTTTGCTTGGCTCCAGCATTGGTCTCGACAGATCATGCTCCAGAGTAACAAGAGCATCGTGTCGGATTCGTCCGTGTCATTTAATGCCCTATATCACGCATGGCCGTCCTGTCCGCTGAGGTAGGACTCTCTGTCGCTGTAACCAATCCAACATGGCTAACGTTCATCAGGCACCGCCGCAGCCGAGCTCAACATCATGGTCAAACACCCCAAAATCCGTTTGCCGTCGGCAAAACCGTGGGAGCGTGTTTCCTCGATCGAGAATGGGCTTCATTGCCTATCGAACTTCGGCCCCAGATTCCCAGACAGAGAGCCGAGTCAATGTCCACGACCAAGTACACACTTCGGAGTATCCCAGGCGCAGCCTGCCATTCAACGGGCATTTCAGCCAGAGGAGGCCAGGCCTGCAGATGCTAGGCACAAGTATCCACTGCTGCTTCAATCATTACAGCAATAAGTGCTTGCGCCTTGCTGCCCTGCACAC